TCCATGCAATGAATGAATTTGAAAGACCGTCGAAATGAATTTATAGCGGCCCGCCTTAGGCAGGAAAGTTTTAATAGATTTATATTAGTTCCTAAATTATAAGTTACAGTTACAAATAAATATTTTCACCATTTATTTTATATATCATATTTATAAAATTGACAAGTTTTACTAAAAATTGTTACAAAATACACGTATAATTCAATCGTCGATAGTTTTAATGAAAATTTACTAAGAGTGTTATATATAAAATTTTAGTTTTTATAAAAGTATTTAAAAACCATCTAAAAATCAGTTTATAAAGTTTTTGTTCATTGTTTTTCTACAAGAATTATTTTTTATGTTATACTATTTGGTCATATTTATAATATAATTTAAAGATTATTGACTTTATTTTAAAAAAGAATGTATCATCAACAACAAAAAATCGACTATTACTCTTTTTGTACAACCCAAAAACAACAAATAAAATTTTATCACCGAATGAATCGATTGGAAAAATTTTGCAGAGAGTTAACAAATATTATTAACATCACTACACGTTCTATACAAGTGCACAAAGATATATGTATTATGAATGCTGTGTAATGTTGATGGAAAAGGAATCCAAAAAGTATTTTATCCGGCTATTAGTAGTGGTCATGTTGTATCAAATCATCATTCTCCTTCTTGCATTACCCGCTTTGTGGGATTGAATACCCGTGAATCAACGTAAAATACCGTAGATACCCGTAAATCTAGTCATGCAGCGTAGGGACAGGCGTATTTAACCAACGCACCACTTGGCCGCTGTTAAAACTGTGGCAAGTGTATTTTAAACTTTTTCAATGGAAAACTTTGTATTTTTTTCCTATTTTGATCTCATGCCATAACTTATTGATAAAAGGCGTTCCCATATTATCCATTGAAAATTGAATCACCCAAACAATAAGTTTACAAGAATTTATTTGAAATATCATGTCTTTGCAATAAATTGAATTCATGTTTCATTTTAAAATGTTCAGATATTATTACAAAATACAGGTTGGACAAATGTTGGGTTTGCGTATTGAATATATATACATCCAATTGTGTTCAAATTGTTTGTACAGATCAACTAAGGTTGCTATGTCGCTATGTCGTCAGTGTTGCATTGTATTGTGTTATATTGTTACGTGCTGCAGTTGAATTGTATTGTTTTGTATTGTGTTGTTTTTTGTATGTACTTAACTTGTAGAAACACAACGCAAGATAAATTCCAATTCATTTCAATACGTTGAACAATAACTTATAAAACAATAGTGTTTTTAGCATTATACAAAAACAGCAACAACAACAAAATAGATTGCTACTTGTAAAAATTTAAAAATGTTTCTTCGTTTCTGTATCAGATTTGGCTAATGGATGTAACCGTATTTTTTCAATCACATATAACTTAATGTATCGCATTTGTGGTGTGTGTGTGGTGATTTGTAAGGAGGAAAGCACACAGATTACTTACCACACATCATATCGCAGTTCTCAGCTCCAAGCGAGCACGTGTGCCAAACAATTGAGGAAAGCTATCGAGCTTTTATTCGCACATGAATGTACCAGTGATTAATTGCCCGAAGGACAAAGGAAGGATGAGTCAGTTGAAAACGTGAAAAAAAAAGATAATTGAAAAGATGATTGATTGGAGGAGGCTATGATTAAACAATTGATCTGCAATATAAATATATAATAAGTTGCAAGAAATGCGTCTATGGCGAAAACAAAAGAGGTTCATTCTTGAATACCCACTGGTTATATTCCTTTTTTTATAACATTGGAATATTCTCATATATTGTATTTGGAATAATTCCTGTTGCAAGATTATTTTCTTAAAGTAAAAACATTTAAAAGTCACTTCAATTTTAAACCAAACATACGAACTTTAAAAAATATTTAATAAGGGGTAGTTTGCATGATATTTTCATATTTTTTAATTGACAAATATATAATTGTGGATATTGTTTCTGATAATTTATATTTAATTAAATTATTTTAAGTAATGAAAAATGTGAAAAATTTAAAAAACTCAAAAAAATGAAACTTTCGACAAATTATAAGAAAGATGGTGAAATGACGAACAAATAAATTGATGAACAGATTAAAAACCAAGTGTTCTAGTAACAAGTCAAACCAAAATTATGTCAAAAGATTAAAAACTCAATAACAAATAAACAAAACACACGCCCACACGTCCGTATGGAACGTAAGAAACATACTCCCGAGAGGATAATTATAATTATATAAATATATTCAGATAAGAGAATTAGTCATCCAAGAGCCGATTTTATGTTTTTTTCTAAAATGTTATTTAAATTTCACAAGCTAACACATTTTATATAATACATAATACATTTTCACGATTAAATAATGAAAAGAGTTGAATACATTTCTTTGAAAAATTTCACGATTAAATAATGAAAAGAGTTGAATACATTTTTTTGAAAAATATAAAAGTATTTATAACTGGGGATAATTCCTCTTTGAAACAAATTTTATTGAAATATATAATCAGAAGTCATCTTAAACTTGTTAAAAAATGTTCATCGTTTCTTATTACTTCAACTAGACAAAAAACAAAACTTAACGCGCCATGGTTTATGTTGCAGATGGTTCCTCATTTTTTGACTCCCAGAAATATATATTTTATCCATTTTACTTCTTTGTTTTCATTCATAATGATGGTCAACTCTTTATTTTTGACAGAAATTTTCTTTAATATTATGAAATGATGAAATAATTTGTATTCGTTTCAATCTTATTGCTCTTTGATACCAAAAACCAACCAAATAGAAGGTGTTCGAATGCCTGTCACATATAACGTTGTCATGTGCTTTTAAAAAATGACTTTCTCAATTTCCCTGTCATGAAAATAAGCGTGGTCTCAGTGTTATTTTGTCACCAGCAGAAACAAAAGTTACTTCTTTTTAAATATTCTGGACTTTTAGTTGGACTAAAAAGACACAAATATCAAATTTTTGTTGGAAATATATTCAGACGAGGGGTCCTATCTTCAAATTTATTCACAAGAATTGAAAAAACGCACCAGTTTAAAGAACGACGCCAAGCCATGGATACGCATTGACATGACGACAAGAAAGAGTTTGACAAAACTAAGCCAGACGAATTTGTCTGTACATGTGACATGCGAGCATGAGAATTCAATTTTAACACAAAACCATTGAACACCAGGGATTAAAAAACATACTTAAAGTTACAAGCTTGTAGAGGAAAACAAATCAGGAGAGAAAGGAATGGAGAAAAAGGACAGACGGTAGACAAGCAGAAAAAGATGAGAGAGAGATAGAAAAATAGAAATAGAAAAAGACAAAAAACAGAGGAAGGGAGACAGAGATGAGGAGACAGATAGAGATATGAATATTGAAGAGAGGCAGACAAGCAGAGGCAAGAAGCCGTCTAAGGACTTTCATTGCCAGCATTAGGCGATCAATGTTTGATTGATCATATGTATTTATATTTTACATTGAGACGTTGCACATTATACATAGCACATTAATCCTACGCATGTATTGTATAATATATGTGATAAAGAGTTTTTCTATATGGACATATTAGTCATAAATTTTTAATTTTAATTATAGGAATTTTATAGAAGCTTATTAATCTTAACACGTGTACAATAAAAATTACTAGAAAATATTAGACTATCTCTAATTAATATTTTATTAAAAAAGTTGAATATGTTAATTGTATCAACGTAGTATCAAGTTCATTTAATAAACATTAATTCTTGGAGAACATGTATTTAACAAACAACACAGTAAAATTACTCTTCTTTCTGTACTGTTTTTTTTTTTGTATTTTTTGGTCCAAATATTTGATCTAAATTAACCCAGGTTCACTCTTGTGTTGTGTGTTTATATACATACACATTTTGTAAAGATATACATAGGTATATACATACATACATTTGGTGTGATGATTTGCAATATATCTGCGTAATGTTTAATGGCAATGATTTATAAATCGTCATTTGGATCATCATTATTTTTATAAGTAGGAATAATGGTAGCTTGAAACGATTTTTGGTCTTTATCTATACTACCTATGCATATAGGAATTGTTTGGAAAAATATAAAATCTTATTTGTATATGTGTTTTGTTGTTTGTGCATGTAAGTTGTTTGCTTTCCTTCCACTGGCAGCCAGCATATGCGTGCATCATCGCGTGCTTCAATGAATGGAGGAAGATGCAATGAAACCATTTGAACAACCTCATCCAATGTCGTAAACAAAATGTTATTTCAATTTTAAATGTTCTTATTTTATAAACAACTTTAAATAATCCTACGCATTGGACATTTTCAAATTTAATTAAATGTCTAATTTATTGCCTGAAATGAAAATGTCAGAACATTTTTCAATTAAACTGTCCAGTTGATCATTTACGGAGCCTCAAAATATTTTAAAATGAAATTCTCATTTGCTCGTTTATGCGCTGTGGTTGTTAGGGTCGTGTTCAAGTTTGACAGCGATATTTAATACGATCAGCAAGCAATATTATGCGCCCGCTGTTATTAAATGGAATCGGTGATATTAAATGTAACATCATTCACGCCCCGCCAAACCTACTCAGCTATTTAAAGTAAGAACAGTCCAATTCTGCATGCTTATTGCATTTGCAGGAAGAGATCAATCAGGTGGTGCTTGTCCAACACATCCCACGTTGTTCTGCTGTGTTTGGGCTCTACTACAGTTCAGTGGAGAGGGCACTGTAAGATGCATTCCGGGAAAGTACCAATATCGCTGAAGTTTATGTATATTTTGGCGCGCTTATACAACAAACCATAAATGTTTTATCATTGTTTTATTTATAAAATTTTGAAAAACAGTGTTTTATTTAAATTTATTTTAACAGACAATGCTAATTTACGTATTATAAGCACGCTTTAAAAAACGATATATAGCGAGATCAATTGAATTGTTCGTGTTTTATCTAATTTTGTGTTAAAGGTTATACAAGTACTTCAAATGCATCATTTTGAAACGGCAGTTTGCACAACTGCATCCCAGTATGGTCCAGCCCTCAATGCAGGTTATGTTTGCAGTTCAACAATTTTCGAAGAAAAATAAATTGTTTTTTCAACAGTTTTTTAAATACACTTATTAACAATTGTAGTTCAATATTAAAACTCTCCCCAATAATCAATAAAAAAATCAGCAAAAACTCGTAAATGATTGTTAAACTAACAATAAACTAACGTTTGAACCCTAAGATAAAAATAAAAAATAAAAATAAAAAATTGCATGACTGCATTATTTTCCTATGCACCAAACACTTTTTCAGTCAAGTTTTTGATCTGGATACCTTTGTTACTCGCACGAGTTAACAAACAAGAAAGTTCATTAAATTATTTTTTATCAGGAGTGTCTGATTACGCTTCAATCCAATCTCTCCTTTGTTAGTTTCATTTCTAAGCACATTCATTTGTTTCGCTCTTTGGTTTACAATGGCGGTGTAAACATCGTTTTCACAATTTTTTTGTAATTTTTTCCACAATTTTTTCGTGAATTCGGATTTTTGTTAATTTTCATTTTCTAAGAAGTTGGTTGAATTGAATTTATTCTTTTTATTTTTCCAAATACTATCGCTGGCAGAAGCTGACTTCCAGGAGTGGTTTATTTTTTTGTTTTTCCATTTTTTTGATTTTCCCTTTGTTTGATTTTTATTTCACTGTCTCCGATAGGAGAGTTCTTTTGGGGTGGTTTCTTTTGGGGTGGTTTCTTTAATTCAGCTACATTGGTAGCGTGAAAATAAACGGAAATAATGAACAACTCCCAAAAACACAAAAAACCAAAACGCCAACTTAGTTTAAGTTTAAGTGATATGGAGGAAGAGGAATTAAACCTCTTTTATGTCATAGAAGCTATCAATGATGGTGAACTGAAATTTAGCAAATTACCATTATTTAAAATTCCCCCTCTTTTCAAAAACTGTACTGTCGAAGAAATAAGAGAAGAACTGAAAGAGTTCGGCGTTAACAACGTTCTGAATATTAAAATAACAAAAAATGGTCAAAGAATTGATACAAATACATTCATCATTTCATTCCAAACTACTAAATTGCCAAGTGAGTTAAAATATTGCTATCAAAAAATCAATGTTCAGCAATACCCCCACCAATGAGGTGCACTAAATGTCAGAGGTATGGTATGGCCACTTCCACAAATTATGTAAGAGCAATGAACAAATATGCCCCAAATGTGGTGAAAAGGGACATAAACATACATTTGATTCTCCATGCAATAAGACACCGAAATGTTATCATTGCAAGCAGGCACACGCAACATTCGATAAATCGTGCCCTAAATACAGATTGGAAAAACATATCTTAATTACAAAATATAATTGAAATATAACTTATAAAGATGCCAAATTATTAATTCAACAAGAGTCAAAGCCAACATATGTAGAAATAGTCAAAGGTAAAAAAATGATTGACATAGGTATTCAATGTGATATTATTAACATTCCACTGAAAAGCAACAAAGTAAAGACAAGAGAAATTGAGCAGAATCTAAATAGAGATATAAACAAAACAAATATTTGCAGTGATAAGTCAAGTTGCATGGACCCAATTGAGGTTTATGATTTTGGTGATGCCGGTGCAAGTGATGAAGATAAATGGGAACGCAATGCTACAAAAATAAACAGAACTAAGCAATATACTAGAGGCAACTATAATTCAAAACAAAATAAATGACAACCAAAAACCAATAAAATTAATATAATCCAATGGAATATCAGAGGCTTTAGAAGTAACATTCTAGAACTTTTTATATTAATTAAAAAATGTTCTTCCCATATTATATGTTTGCAAGAGACTAAGCTAACTGATACTAAAAATGTTGAAATAAAAAACTACAGCTCTTACCATATAGCTGCTACAACAACTCCTACAAACCCTAGAGGAGGTTTATCAATTTTTGTACATCATAGAATCCCTCAATCACAATTAAATATTAATGCAGAATATCAAGCATCTGCAGTTAGTGTTAACCTAGACAGACCGATAACTATCTGTAATTTTTATAACCCACCAAATATGATTATAAATACTAATAAACTTGAAAAACTAATTAAATCTTTGCCAAAACCAGTTCTTTTGATTGGGGACTTCAATGCACACAATGTAATTTGGGGCAGTGGCAAAAATAACACAAATGGTAAAAAGATTGAAAAATTTCTAATACACATTGACATATGTTTAATCAATCCTTCTCAACCCACCCACTTTCATATTTATTCAAATTTATTATCAACAATAGACTTAGCATTTTCGTCACCTGTAATTTTCAATAATTTGCAATGGAGAAGGGAAGATGATCTGTATAACAGTGATCACTTCCCCATAATTATAACATATAATAAGACAGAACAAGAAATAAGTGAACGGTATAACCTAAAAAATACAAAATTTCGACAAGAAAAAGTGAAAGTGTTGGAATAATTATGTCAGTACAATAACAAAAAATACAACATCTAAACAGATATGGTCAGTTGTCAACAAAATAACTAACAAAAGCAATCACAGCAATTCAAACAATATAAATGTTAAGGGCATAATTTATCAATCTAATGAAGAAATATCAAACACTCTTGCAAATCAATTCCGGGTGAATTCATCCATTTCCAGCATAAATAAAACATTTGCTAATATAATGCACACGGAAGAAAAAAATTTGTTAGATTTTAATTCAAATAATGATGAACCTTACAATGACATGATTACCATGGAAGAATTAAAGTATGCCATTGATACAAGTAACAATTCTACTCCTGGGCCAGATAAAATCACATACAATATGATAAAACACTTTTCAAACACCTCATTGATCTCAATTTTAAATTCATTTAATCATATTAGGATTAACTCTGATGTCCCGGAGGAATGGCATGAAGCCATAATTATACCAATATAAAAGCCTAATAAATCAATAGAAGACCCCCTAAACTATAGACCCATCTCTTTAACAAATACTTTATGTAAAATCTTTGAAAAAATTGTCAATAATAGGCTTACATATTACCTACAAACTAAACAAATAATATCCCCATTTCAGTGTGGTGGTCAAAAAGGCCTATGCACTCTTGATCACCTTGTTTCTCTGGAAACTTTTATAAGGGAAGCATTTGTTTGCAACGAACAGGTTGTTGCCATTTTTTTTGATGTTGAAAAGGCCTATGATAAGGCCTGGAGATACGGTATCTTAAGGGATTTGTTTAGAGCTGGTCTGAAAGGTCGACTTCCATTATTCATATCCAACTTCCTGAATAAAAGAAATTTTAAACTAAAATATAATAATTTTTTATCTTCAGAACAAGAAATGGAGATGGGAATTCCACAGTGTAGCATTTTATCAGTTACCCTGTTCTGTCTGAAAATAAATGGTTTATGCAACATAATTCCACCGGACATGCTTGGATGTCTCTATATAGATGATTTTATGATAGCTTACAAAAATAAAAATATTGAAAGAAAATTAAACAGTTTATTGAACCAAATCTATGTCTGGTCAACAGATAATGGGATTTTTTTTCAAACTCAAAGACTACGGCCATATTATTTACAAATAAAAGAAAAATAAAATATCCAAAATTACATTTAAATAAAATACCAATCAAATTTGATAACAAAATAAAATTCTTGGGTTTAACCTTTGATCAAAGGCTCAATTTTATGCATCATATTAAGTATGTTAAAACTAAATGTTTTAAATACCTCAATATAATTAAGGTTCTTTCTCATTACAGATGGGGTGCAACTGACGAAAAGTTATTAATGATATATAGATCCAAAATACGATCAATAATAGACTATGGTTTCCAAGTCTATGGATCTGCCAGAAAATCATACGTAAATTCACTACTCCCAATTATAAATGAATCTCTAAGATTGTGTTTAGGCGCTTATAGAACCTCTCCATCTCTGAGCCTACATGTGTTGGCCAATGAAATCCCACTAAATCTCCGACATGTTAAATTGTCACTCAACTATTATTATAAAATCATATCATACCCAGAATGGCCCTTATATAAATACATTAAAAGTAAACAATTTATAACTAACTTCCTCAAAAAACCTAAAGCAATAGCTCCATCTTATTTGCGCATTGAAAATCATATTAAAATCATAAAACATCAAGATATACTTAAAAATCCTGAACTTCCTTATTTCTGGAGAATGAATGAAGCTTCAATAAATACAAAACTAACAAAATATAAAAAATATGAGGACCAATACATCAAACAATCAATAGTCAAATAAATCATCAATCATAATATTAATAACACCATAATTTATACAGATGGATCAAATATAGATCATTCAACGACAGCAGCAGCTATAATAGATAAAACAAAAATAGCCATACATTTGCCTGATGACACTTCAATTTTCACTGCTGAGCTTCAGGCAATCAATAAAGCGTTAGATTACATAAAAGATGAAATTAACAAATCATTTATAATATTGACTGATTCTTTATCAGGTGTACAATCACTAAAACAATATACAAGTAATAATAGCCTTGTTAATACAATAAAAATTAAAATTCATAACATTGTACAAAATAACTGCCATATTAAAATAATCTGGATACCAAGTCACATAGGTATTCTTGGCAATGAAAAGGCCGATCAATTAGCTTTAACAGCCCACAATGAACCCATACTAAATACAGCAATGATTTACTCAGACATTAAATCAATAATAAATAAGTATATATACACATTATGGCAAAATGAATGGAATGATTGCATAACACAATTAAGGCAAATAAGGCCACTGATCGAACAAAAGAGATGCAGAATATTTAACACCCGATTGGTATCCTCTAAAATAAACAGACTAATGATTGGCCACACAAAATTAACAGATGGATATATATTAAATAAGTCAGATCAAACATTATGTCAATATTGCGGACACAAATTAACAATCCAACATATTATAACTTGCGAGAACCCAATTACACATAGACATAAACATTTAATATATAAAGAGCTTTCAGAGAATTTTAAGAATAACAATAATATTATCAATGTAATACAATTTCTGAAGGATTGTAACTACTACGATATGATTTAAATATTTTTCCCATAGTATTTCTCTTTCCCCACGTTCAGTGCAATAAACATTTTTCATATTATCTGAACTTCTATTTTTCCACATGGAGGAAAAAAAAATAATTTTTTCTTAATTTGGCAAACAATTGCACCATTTTGGGAGCATAAATGCCGTTAAATATAAACAACAACAACAACATTTGTTTCGCGGAACCCTCTTAACGAATCACGTATAGTTCACTCTCCAACTACTTACATTGATTGCTCTGTTGTTTGTGGTTGAGTTAGCTGTACAAATGTTGTCGCACGTTTCACAAAGATAACAAGCACAAATAATTTTTAATTATTGATTCAAATTTGATTGAGGATATTTTCACGTCAGAGGTTTATAAAATGATGCTTGCGATCAATGCTAAAGAATATAATTCCGTCAAACCTACTAGCAAATATTTCGATCATTAAATAAAAATAAATTAAACTTATTTTGAGGTATGTATTCAATTATAAAAATTTTGTGCCATTTTAAAATGTTTTGTAGCTATAATAATTTATCTTGCGACATTCAACTGTTCAACATTGAACAACTTTCAGGTTGGTCAGATATCTTCACCGTGTACGGCGTTGAATAATTTTCAGCTGATAAGAAACTTCTAACAATGTTAATCAGCATCCCTTGGACATTCAACATCTTTCTACATCTACTCTAGCGTAACTAATTGAAGTTTTGCACATTAGGAACTATTTAGCATGTCAAGGCAATGATATTAGAGTATAAAAAATTCAATGAAGAATCGTTAAAACAGCAAAGAACGCACATTAATGTCATAAATAACTCAGACGTTTTTTATCAAAATATGTAACGCTGTACTACATTCCCAACAATGATTAACAAAGTAGGAAGATCCAGTACAATCGAATTTTAACTGTGTGAGTGAGAGAGAGAGAGAGAGAGAGAGAGAAATAGAAGATATCCTGTATACTTCTATTAATAATGTAACGGTAATCTTGCGTGGATTATAAATGCGCAAATGAGACAAATGCTTGCAACGGTTTGTAAGGAAAACGTTCATTTGTCATCTGGGAATGCGTCCATATATTACTGTAGAAACTATCATTTATATTTCTATTATTTTACATTCCTGTCGTTGTTATTTTCATCATGAAAAAACGTTTTCAGCATTTGATCAACAAATTTTTTGCTTATAGTAGGTTGGAATTTTTGCTTTTATTATTTTGTTGCTCGTTTATTCATCAGCAATAATTTGTTCTCATGTCGAAATATTTGGCATTTGCTTCATATATTATAAACCAGCTGGAGCGGATTGTATTACTGATGTTGTTTGATTGCCTGCCTGCTCAATTGCATTGATCTGTATGACTTGCACGACACTCGTGTCTCACAGCATTCCATCAAACTCCACGATCTTCCATGTTTCCTACCTGGTCTGCTGTTAGGTGCAGCATTTGAGGAGCCATGTTTACGTGTCTAACTATATCACGTCGTATAACTTTGCCTTCTCAACTGACTGAACAACAACTCTGATTGGCCATATTCTCAAAATTTGTAACATTATTCTTAATGCCTCTGCAGTGTTTATGTCAAAATGATTAGTATTAAAAGTAAACAAACAGACC